CATTTTCAATTTTACGCTTTCAATTCCCAAAATGCTCTCTCACTATCTGTCTGAAAATATTTCCCTAAAGTTAATAACATCTAACGATCATATAATTACTTGATACCTGAGTTGCCTTGATGAGTCACACTACTTTGATTTAGGAGCTACTCTTAGTTGAATTAAGTTTTTGGTTACCATACTCCTCTCTCTAAACCACATAACTCTTGAAAAGCTTCATGGTTCAGCATCAAAAAGACATTCAGACAAAAAACATATTTTTTTTATCCCGTACACTGAAGATAGGTTAAAAACAACTAGCAGATAGTAAAAGAAAAACAAAGAAAGAAAATCTTCTTTTAAGTCACACATTCAAACCACTAGGCTCTGAAGAGCTTGTGATGGCAGCCATTCTATTGTTACTGGCATGTTTCATAAATGATTAGCAGCATTGTCAAAATGTGGGAGAATCTGAAGCACTTCTGATGCAGCCCGTGATACGGTTGAATTAGGAGTCCTGTCACATTTACAAAACACTAATTAACAACATTTTAAAAGAATTTGAGCAGCTCTAATGTTTGCTGTCAAACTAAATGATTGTCTCCTTTTTTAGATACAGTGGATGATGCAATCACACGCTACTAATGTGTTCTTTCATAGTATGTTTTTTAGGGTTGTACTCACGTGGAGAATGCGTTGTTTTGCCTTTCGCAGCGGATGCCCTTACAGTTGTTTGGTTCTTCTGATGCCTTTGTCTCATAGTAGAAGTACAGCTGGTTGAGTCCGTTGGCAAATGCCAATAGAACCTGCATGTACATATACACAAAAAGAGAGCTGTTTATATAAAAAATTTTTTGTCTTATTCAGGACATCTCAAAAGACACGAAATGTCAGTGCTGAGAGATTGTTTCCCTTTATTTTTGCACTGTGTGATGGCACCAAAACTAACCTTGCATCCCTCCAGGCACCTTTTAAACAGAGCTTTGATCTCAAGAATAAAAGCAACAGAAGTTGTGCTGTGTAAAGCTGCAGTGACGTAGTCTGTGAGCCTCGGGCTCGCTATGATTGTTTTTGGAGACCACAGGGAGACAAAGCAATCCACATGTGGACTGTGTTGTAGGTCAGGAGCTCCCTTGAGAAGGAATTAATAAGGCCTAACTATCATGACGCAGGCTTGCAACATCCTCCAGCTGAAAACTCAAGGGCTCAGGATGCACAAACCATGCTTGCTTCCATACTTCTCGAAAGTGAAAACCTGCAGCTTTATAATTCATAACAGATTTTTATAAATATCAATAGGATAAAATGTCCTAAAAAAAAAGGTTTTACAGAAATGGAAGTCTATTAGGGCCGATTAAGTGGGTGTAAGGGTGACAACTGAGAAATGAATGGAAATAGGAAAGTTAGCAATGATTAGCAGGAAGTAATAAAAAAAAAAACCTAATGAGTTTTATCTTCCATTTACAGAGCCTTGATGATGCCTCACCAGACAGTAAATGAAGAGAAACTTGAGGATGTCCAGCAGCATCCTCCCCAGAGAGATCTGCAGAGGCCCGAGGTGGGAGTTGGCTGTGAAAAGGGAGATGAGTCTGAGCGAGCTGAAGATGTTGGCGATGGCAAACAGAGCCTCGGCGATCAGCGTTGGGTGCCACATCTCCCACTCCTCCCTTGGACGAGAAGAGTTATACTGGAAGGAGGGATGGAAGGAAAGGAGGAGATGAAAAGAGTGGGAGGAAAAAATATATATATATAAAAAACAATCAAGTAAATCTAGATATTATTTTCTAAAGACATCTTTTCTTAATATTTAAAGACCAGAAACAAGTTTGATAATGTTGCAGCAGAATCCTCTTAAACCAGTCTTCCTGCATGCTGTCACATCTTCCCAATCCTTTCTACATGTTTTTATTCATTATATCCATTAACCATATTTTCCTGTATTCAGTCTTTTTGCAGCTTCTTTTGCTGAATTTGTTTTTCTTTCCTTGTTCGTTTCACTCCTGTGATCTTCCCTTTTTGTCCTGCTGGGTTTTCTCTCGTCTTGTTTCCTCCTAATTCAAAACTCAGCCATTAGTCCTCCACAGGACTGAGGATTTGTTACCTTTTCCTCTATCAACATTACCCATTCTTTCAAGCACACAAGGCTTCACAAATGAAAGCACAAATGTTACCACAGATGCGCATTTATTAATTTATGTTCCCTTGTACCTTCTCTCACATGCATCAAGTCAGTGTCTATCATACGCACGCATTGATGGAGCAAAATCTCTCAACCACTCCAGGGGATTTTCAGAGATGATGAATATTTTAAGAAAGAATTAAAAATACAGCAGTAGAATACAGTATCTGGCGGCTGTTTCTTTATGTTCTGGTATGTCAGGGCAGGTGTGTGCGTATTTGTCTGTGTGTTTTAAATCTATCCGAATGCATGTAATTATAATGCATGTGAGACTGTGGGACCTGTGTAGGTGGGCCACCCGCCACCATCAGTGACTCACAGATGTTCCACATGGCCCAGCCGTCTGGTGTTTGTGTCAATGTGTGTGTGTGTGTGTTTTATTACATCATTTTACTTTAATTAAAGAAATAGTTCAGCCTTTTTAAGTGGGGCTGACAGGAATAATTATGAAGAGTCAGCTCCTTACCTGCAGTAGACAGCAGTAAGGGTGATCAGAGTTTGGAAAGTCAGAAAGAAATCTCATGAAAGAGTCAGAGGAGAGTGTGCTGCTGCAGATGGTTTTTCTCAGTAAAACTACTCTGGACTTTCATAAGAGATCTGTGATGGACTTTCATTTGACAATCTTTGTACCAGGAGGGACCCTGACTTTTGGAAAACAACATGGCTCCACGTTGTTTACAGCATTCTAAATTTAAATGATCTAAATTCAATTTTTTATGTGAAATCTGATTGTTTTGGTGACTTGTTTTTGATCTCCTGTGTGAACAGCATTCTAACAAGGTAAGTGACATGTAGCCTAGGCGGAAGTTCAACTGAAGAAACTCATTGCTCTCCAACACCCATCTACGACACAGCCAATGAGCTTTGAACCACACCTCCACAAAAGCCAATCAGCATCTTAAGTTCATTTTTAAAGGCCTCACTGCTCAGGCAGTGGATGCGCTGTGTGACTTCATTAAGATGACACTGTTTTAACCCACCTCCAGACCCTCCTCCACCATCCTGGCTAAAACTTTATCAGAGTTTCATTGCTTCCGGACTCTTACTGCATTCCGTGTCTCATTTCAACTGGTCCAGTAGAAGAACACCATGTTGAGCCTGGTTTTGGCAGAGGGTTTTTCCTCTACCTGGGTGAAGCTTTAGTTTCAGTTCATGCAGTCCTCTGGATCTCCCCATAAAGCTAAGCATACAGTCTCGCTAACCAGCAGTCTACAGACTGACCAACTTCATCTATCTTCACTCCACCAGTTTTAGGCCTGGTGGGAAACAGCCCTATTCTTTGCTCCTGTTCATGCATATCTTTCAAAATTCAGTGCTATGTTTCCTGCCGAGGTCTGAGCGCCAAAGACAAAGTAATTGTATCAATACATTTCTTCTCATTGTCTCTTCTCTTCATGTGAGTTTTTCAGATTGAACTGCATGCACAGTAGAGGACGGAATGACGTCACAAGTAGTGAGCGTGCTCTGTGTTTACGGAAGTAAACATGAATGGTAATGTTGGAACGCATCTTACGATTTTTCATTTCTTTTCCAATTGGAGTAAGCGCATTAACAAAGCAATCTTCTTAAGAAGATCAAAGATAAAGACTCCTGTCTGAGTTATTATTGGCCATGGTTGTTGTTTTCCTTTCCGATTCTGCATAGTAAGGTGCTGATTTTGGATCTAAATCGAGTATTAATGATGTACAGGTTGGATGAATGTGTCCTGGCCGTTCACACACAGGTCACATTTTAAAAGATTGGATATGTATGGGATTTAGGACCACATAACCAACTGGTTTGGGTCATGTTTGAAAAAATCAGATCAGAGTTTTTTAGACTTTAAGTTAAAGATCAGACACAGGTAGCATATTGGAAGAAACAAAAATTGATTCATTTCAGGCCGCAGTGTGAGCATAGCCTCAGACAATGAGGAGTTACAAATATTGAACGCTTTGGCGTGAATACAATGTATTAATTTCCAGGGGGAAAAAAACACACAATTCATCAGCAGGTCATTACCATCCCTATAGTGAAGCATTATAGTGGCAGCATCATGCTAAGTAAATATTTTCCACCACCTGGAGTGGAAAGGAAAACTCCCATTTAACAGGAAGAAACCTCAAGCAGAACCAGGCTCAGTGTAAGCGGCCATCTTGAATTTTCGCTTTAGCTTCATTTATTTTTATATTTTAGCCCTGCCTTCTTTGTGCGGTTAAAAAGAAGAGTTAAATAACAGTCTTCACATAGGTTTACACAAGTCTCAATTACTTTAAAAGCTCTGCATAAAAACAACTCTGAATTAAAAAATCAATGTAACAAAATAATAGTTCTCCTTAAAATTAAACTGAACAAATAAATGAACAAAAAATGTAATAATCTTCATAAAAAGGTGTTCTATTTTTCTAGAAAAAGAAATAAGAAGTCACAAGCCTAATTCAGACTTTTAATAAAAAAAAGTTGAGCAGCCTTTACTTTTCCTCTTCATCCACTTTTTTTTATTGTATTCTCATGTTGCTCTGTAGTTGATCTTTTGTAGTAATATTTTATGCATAACAAATAACCAGTCCTGTCTTCTCATTTCATGTTATTTTGGAGTTTTCCATTAACATAAACTATCAATCACCAGAGAAACAGATAAGCACAACTTTGGTTCTGAGCAAACAAACCAATTGAAAACATTTGTGTTTGCCAGCTACTGGTTGTTCTATCACTGTTTACACAGTATTGTCACAATGGCTCAGTTTTATTGCACTGCAAGATTGAGACATTAATGACCTTGGGATTTTTATCTCTACCAATATGCAGCAGGATCAAACGTCTTTACCTTAACGTATGCCACTATCTTCAGTGATATGGTAGCCAGGTAGAGGGAGTTCATGGCAAAGTCCATCAGGTTCCACCAGTCATGTATGTACTCTGTGAATCCCCCATCCCACATTTCCTTGATCTCTGCCCAGATAAAACCTAAAACACACAAGCAGACACACATGCAAACATTGCTGGTTGTTCAGAAAGGTAGATTAATGTGTTTTTCTCTTGGAGGACACAGGCCATTAAGCAGAGAGCTAGCATTTTTGTTCTGTGTGACTGGCTTTAGATTAAGTTAAGCTTTATTCTAAATTATTTAGAAGACCTTTCCTCCAGGGATAAACAGGATTTTAGGGTTGTGATACGACAAGTGCCCTTGGTTAGCTTGGTTTAACCCTAAAGTCTGATATCAACCCCTCTGGCGAGTTTGTGTACATCCGCTGGGCTCTTTGACACGTTGGACCGGTGGGCTTTCCCTGACCCAGTTTTGGTTTGACATGAACATCTAAATGTTTCAGCAGTTATATCTGACCAGAAGCTTCTCACTGGTCTTGCAAGGAAACCCATATTGTGCTGCTAAATATTCATGAGAACTGTAAAATGTTCATCAGATAATATGATCATTTTAAAACACAAGAAATTCGGCCTTTAATAAGTAGTCAAAAAGGGCAAAATGTCTTAATGGGTTAGATTAATCTGCTGGTGTACAAAATGAGCATACACATTTACATGTAATGAGAAACCAAGTGCAATACATCACCAAGAACATGTTTATTTTAGGAACCTGCTGTATGACAGCTCATTCAGGCTCTATAATTTAGAATCATTAAAATGTCATTATTATTTTTGACTTATTCTCAGTTCACACAAAAAGAGTCTAATGTCTCAGATTGGGAGCTTCTGCATGTTGAAATAAGACGCTATAGAAATTGGGCACTGGATGCTCTGGATGCTGAATATTTGGCACTCTGGATGCTAAATGCTTTGGTTATTGAGCTGCTCTGTTCTTTTCATTGGGAGAAGGGCTTGGCTTTATTGGTTTTGATGAGTTGAAAAAAGTAGTTTTAACATTTTCAAGCAAGAAAGTACACCTCAAAACAGGATCTGTGCATTAAATTCTACAGGATTATGATCCTACATGAATATTCTGTTCTTGTTCAAGCAGCAGACCCTCAGTATTCTGGCTGGTGACAGTGCTGGGAGCCCATAATGAAATATGCTTTTTTATCATGCCTGTGTAAATTCTTAGTCATCCGGCTTATGGCAACCAGATCAGGCTAAATTGGAAGGCAACCAGACTTTAACTCAGTTTTTTAAAGGTGTTTTTAACCCTATCCAGGAAGGTGTTAAGATATCTTCAAAGAAGGTCAGATACCATAGCCTTCCATCTAAAATTCTTCAGAAAACAGTTGCTCAACAAGAGCGTTAGCTGTTACATCATAATTCTTTTTTTTAAAGAGTTTCAGTCATATTTTAAAGCTCATCGTAGCACTGAAACAGCTCTGGTGAAAGTCACTAATGATATTCTCATTGCCTCAGATAATGGACTTGTGTCTGTACTGTCCTATTAGATTCAGTGCTGTATTTGATACAGATTATCATAATTTTCTTTTAGAAATACTTGAATATTTTGTAGTATTTAATGAACATCACTTAGCTGGTTTAAATCTCATTTATCTGACAGATTTCAGTTTGTTCACATTAATAATAAATTTCCTCATGCTCTGTGGTTACACATTGAGTACCACAGGGATCAGTGCTAGGGCCAAATCTCTTGACTATATATAAATATATATATGCTCCCAATCAGTAGAGTTATTAGACAGCATAGGATTAATTTAAATTCAATTCAATTCAGTCTATTTCTATTGCGCCAATTCACAACACAAGTCATCTCAAGGCACTTTACAGTTCAACCAGATCATCCAGTCAAATTGATTCAAAGTTTTCTATCCAAGGAAAACCAGTTGATTGCATCGACTCATTGACTCAAATAATTTCTACCGTTATGCTGATGATACTAAGCTTTATTTTTCCATGAATCCCGATGACACTAAACTATCGCATAGACTACATGCATGTCTTGACAACATGAGTTTAGGTCCTTGATCTATTTCCATTCTTTTCTCAGTTCTTCTTCGAATTGTTCCCATTTAGTGGATCATTTTCCTTTTGTTACTCTGGCTAAGCCCCTACTTTTTTAAGTTTTGTCTGTTTTATTATTAAACTTCTACAATATTCCTCCAAGTGTTTGTCTGCAGACTGGTCCAACCCTTGGCTCACATAACCTGACACTATGAGTTTCAGTTCAATATTTTCTCTGTATATTCAAAACAATAACTTAATACATCAGCAAAAAATCTTTCTCTTTACACCTTGTGAAGAAAGAGAAGTCTTTTTTTATTTATAAAGTCCTTTTTCTTAGGTCCATCTTGTTAGAAATTATGTTTACAGCAAGAATTTTTTTTTTATTATTATTTTGTAAGGTCATCTATCAAAAATAATTTTTGGATTATACATCAGCCTTTTATTCTTATCATTAATTTTGGATGTATTAAGAAAACATCTCCTTTAGTCTAAAACACTTTCTTAAAGTAGGATCAAGCGTATGAAATGACGCAGGAGAAAAGATGGTTTCAGATTTTTTTGAATAATTACAATCAGGATTTGGAAATGATTGGCATCAGCTCTATGAGAGAAAGAAGATGAAGATGTAATCATTCATTTTTCACACCTACCCACTTGCACCCACTCACCACCTCCCCCACATACTCGCAGGCGTCCTACCACACACATCCGGGAGCACTTAAACTGACAGATATATCTGGATGATTAGCAACCAAGTGCAAAAAACTAGCCGAAGATTTTTTTGATTCATTTGTTTTATTGAGAGGAGACTGTTTGCCTGCTTGTTAGGGTGTGAATTAATCAAATATTGATGCAAATCCATCTGTAAGATCTATTCTTATTACAGCGTCTTTGGGACATTTATTCGAGAGAACGAATAACATCGGCAGATTAATTTACGGTGGACTAAATTCCTTTTTCTTTTTCTTATTGTGTTACTACAAAATGAGGTTATATTTATACAATGATAAGAAGAAAGGTGGGGTTCACTAAGATGCTTCATAAGAGCTTAAAATCTTTTTTTGTGGAAGATAAAAAGTCATTTGATTTTCAACCAAACCAAATGATTGCATTATACCCATTTATTGCTAAAATAAAGAGCAGCTTACCAGCTGACCAATGGACCATGGCTGCTTTGAAGACCTTCAGCACTAATAACTCACATTTTCTGTAGTATAAATACAGTAAACTCTGAGTAATTGTGTTTATGCGCTTCCAATGTATATCTACAACAATAAGGTTGCTAATAGAGCTCCTAGGTTTGGTACTAAATGGTTTTTAAACATATAAACTTTTAGGTAAATTTGAACTAAATGTCAAAGGATTGTAAAGTTTTTCTAATGAGTCCTGGAGAGGACTATTGAATGTCAACACAAGACTGAACTAAAGTTTCAGACTTTATATTAGAAAGCAGTCACAAATCAAAATCTAGTCCTGGTTTATCACCTGAGCAAAAGTTTGAAATAAACAACAATGATTTTAGAACTTCTCCAGGTTCTTGAAGGTCTTTCAAAGCTTTTAGTCTTTGTAATCTGTCTGTTTAACAGTTGATTTTAGTTAAGTCATTGAACTGGACAATACTGGTACCTTAAAAAAAAATTATGGAAACTACACAAGTTTAAGGCAATAACAATTATGAGAATTAGACCTAGAAACTCAGATGATAAAATCAAACTTTTAAGGAAAAGGACAAAAACATTTCATTTAGTGTACACATCTCGTTTATGCATAGTTTCTAGAAATCTTTCTTTGGCTCTTTAGTGTTAGAAAGTGCATGCTTTACTAGAGTCTCACAAAATTTGTTGAAAACTTGACTTTCTAAAGCCCCCGTTATAATTAATCTAAAAAAATATTTTGAGAGTCAGAATCAGTTATTACATTTTTTCAATGCTAACCTGATTTCAACCGTCTACAGTGAAGTATTTCATATAGAGGAAATTTTTTATTTTTGCCGCAATCTCATCTTTTTTTTAGATGACATGTGTTGTGAAACATCAAACTGAATTGAATTTTTTTTGGGTGGGGCGGGCGGGGTTCTGTTTGAGGAAATGTTGCCTGTTTCAAATTGAAAAAATTAAAAAATTAAGAAATTAAAAAATTACATGCTTTCCATGGTATCCCACTCTCAATGCCTCATGTCTGAATGACCCCTCAGTTAGGCTGAAGTACTTTATCATATTAAAAAAGAGGTTCTGTGAAAGAAAAAGCATCGGGTTCTGAGCTGACATGAGTGAAAAAGCAGCCAAAGCCCCAAAATCTCTAAAACGCCTTCAAGTCCACTTTGAAAGATCAGATAGAAGTCTGAGGGTCGAGAAAAGACATAAAAGGATAATGAGGGAGAACTTAGGACTTTAACTTTTTATAGCTCAGTAAAATATTCAGAACTTACCAAGCACCCATGGAAGAATCATCCACTCCACAATGGTGGGTGGAGGTCCCTGCATGTGCAGGTTGGTGCGGGCGATATGCTGCGAAGCCAGGAGGAGGAGGAAGAGGAAGGTAAGATAGGATGCTGTGTGGCAGATGAACTTGATGAAGGGCTTCTTAATGAAGCGTCCAACTGCGCTCTTTGGGGCCAACAGGTAGATCTAAGGAGGAAGGGATAAAGTATAAGTTTGTTTTTACAACGTAGAACAAAAAAGAGGAGCATGGCAAACAAGAGGGCCCTGCACAAGATAGCGAAGGGAGTTTAGAAGGTCATGTGACAAATCCAGAGCCACAGGAGAAACAGGGCTTAAAATGTATGTAGCTGGGGATTCCTCACAGGCTTATTAGGAACTATTTACACCTACTGCTAGAGTAATGCAAAGAAGCTTTCTACCACAGGCCAAAACATACAGTAGACAATTTATATCTGCAGAAAAATGGTTGAAGATTAAGAGTAACTGTTCACATTTAGAGATAATTTTCTTTAACTTTGAAAAACAACAAATACATAAAACCATTAGAGGAAAAAAAAAACTTTAACACTGTTTCTACAGCTTATTCTTGTACAATTTACAGTTGTTTGGGACTAAAAACAACATGTCTTTGAGTAAGACTAATAAAAATAAGGTAATGTTGTTTCTTTTTTGTTGCAGCTGTTTACTTCTAGGCTGAGTTAGAGATGATAAACAACGATATTAAAGAACAAACAAACAAAAAACATGTTTATTCAGCCAGGGTAAACATATGTTTTGGAAAACTTGGTTTCTTTATACTGTGTATTCAACCAATTTAATTGGGATTAAATGTCCCAGAATCAGCAAAAACCCTTTTATAAACCCAAAAAGAAATCATGATAAGAAATATTATATAAGGAAATATGTTCATGTTATCTTTTTCCACATTTTTGAAGTAACAACTCAAAAAAAAAAAACAGGATAGGATAGTTACTGTTGGTTAATCGGTGCTGAAATGGCCTTTTGTGCCATACAGAAATGAAATAATTTTGGTTTAGCGAATTTTGCACTTTATTTCCTTGTAGATAAAGCATATATTAAGTGATAATAATTTAATTACTTGGATAAACTGTTGTTTAATTGAGGCTCAAAAACATGGAAGTCAATTGCAGTCATGAAAAAGGCTTTAAATGGAAATGAGTGTTAGAGAAACAAAAGCAATCAGCAGCTTGTAAAAGGTGAGGATGTTTACATGGATTATCAGAACACTGATGTGCAGTCACCTGGAGGCAGATTACTGCAATTTAAGCATTTTGCCTTCATTATTTACTCTTATAAACAATACAGCCAGGGAAAATCAACTTCACTGAAACCAAATGGCATCATCTTTGTAATATCTAATTTAATTCTGAGTAATAAAGACAATGTGACATAAAAAAATATTTTAATATTTAGTCTAATCTTGTTTACTGACACAAAAAACTAAAAGAGTATTAAAATAGATGGGAAAACAAATGAAAACTGTGACCCACTGACTACAGAACATTGAAATGTAAGAGATTTAGATCCATATAAGGTGCAGCTTTTTCTGACTTCAAGGCGACAGCAGGATAGACTTCTCAAGATAAAAACAGAATTGTCGGTCATTAATTCCCCATAAATCTTACCAGTGAGAAAACTGGAAAGAGCAGTCCAATGATGAAGCAGGTCACCAGCTTGACGGCCCAGTGTCGCCTCCTCCAGCCCGGGAAGCCGTCATACCAAAGAGTGGCCAGCAGCTGCTGACAGTTTGGCTGCGCTACAAACTGAAAACAGACAGGGAAAGATTAGAAAAGGGAGGGAAAGATAAAGCTGAAACTACAGTGACATTTACTGAATTCAAGGTGTATAAATACATTCTATTTATGACACTTTTATGTACATGTTTTTTAGTATTGAACCTAAACATGTTTCTGGCTAAATCTAATTTAAGATGGATTCCACTCACATTACCAGCAGTTAAACCTTTCCACTTTGACCTTTTTTAAGAGTTATTTATTATGGATGTAATATTAGAGAAACACTGTGTAACTTTTAGACACTAGGGGTTCTAAACCTGTATCTCACAGGTTTAGTTTTAATGCCCCTAAAAGCAACTGGCAGCGCTGCATTTTTGCAAAAAGAAACAGTCTATCTCTTTGTTTTGGAATCTAATAGTAGATCACTTTAAAACAGCAGATTGAGAAGTTATTGAGTTTTTAGTGAAGACAAGGCTACATTTACCTCTCTAGATAAAATCCTATATCAGAGATCCTAAAAATATGTCTGATCAGGTAAGCGTCATATTGATTTTATTACCTAAAAAAAACAGTTGGCTAGTTAGTTGTCCTGTTTATTTTATTATTTATTATTTATTTATTTTTTTGTGTCCTGTTTTGCCAATATATCTGGTACGCTTATTCCCAGAGCTAAATGATAACCCAACCGCTTTACTTTCACAAGCAGACCATTATGATTATTCTGTTGGATACTTGTATATTAAATTTTATTAACAATTATATAGGGAGTGAAATTGTAAACAACAGAAGAAAAAAGGGAGGCTAAAGAATTTGTTTAAGGGGAGCTTAGACTGCTGTGCTCCGAGTCATATTACTCATTCAGTGACAGATTTGACCCTCTCAAGTAACATAGGTATGTTTTTGAGAACAGCAGTCAGCGTGTAGCATCATTATGCACCAAGAGGTGTATATTCACCTGAAAAATACTTTTAGCACATCTTAAATGAAGCTGATACTTGGGTCAAAATTTGGGCGGTGTTGTTTTAAGTCAGCCATATGTTTTTATTATTTTTTTTTTTTTTAAGTAAAATATCTTTCAACACTGTTTATAAGCAACATGCTGTCTAGAACACAGTCGTTTTTATATATAGGTTTCCTTCCAATTGTTTAACTTAAAATTGAACAAACTTTAAAAATGTAGAAAAACAATAATGTGAAGATGGCACCTTTACATCCAGACTACACAAAGTTATTGTAAATGTTCTGTCATGTCAAATAGTATTGCTGATGTCACAGGCTGTCTGGATATGTAAAGAGATAAGGTCATTATGGGGATGTCTTGAAAGAAGGAAACAGGATGAAAAGATGATAGACAGACATAAATTCACAACAAAACAGCATTGCGCCATTGACATAACAAACATGTAACTTTATGATACTGCTGGCAAGAAAACCCTAAATTTGGGAAATTATTGTTTTCAGGTGAACATTTCAGTCAGCTGGATGGGCTCTCTGCCATTTTGCTCTGAAGCTACATTAGCCTCAGGGCAATGAGGGGCTAAACGTCCCAGTATATTTCATCTAAAGATACTTTATACCACTATACGTTATTTAAGTGTTTTTTTTAAATAATGACTTTTTGCCTGTTACTCCTTTAAGGAAATGTTTGCAAGTTTACAACTTATTTGGCAAACTTGTTTCCATCTTATGTTTAGCCCATTTTGCCATAGGAGGAAATGATTACAAATTTTTTATTTTCCATTAAGTTTTTCTAACTCTATATTTAAAATTTCGCACACAGAAAACAACAATGGTAGCACTTATTGCTATGGTTGCAAATCCGGACGTAGTCGCCAATATGGACACTAGAGAATAGCATCCTTGAGAGAGGATATGGAGTGCTATCACCTCAGAGCTTAAACATTTCCAAAAAATCTACCTGAAGAAATATATTTGTATGAATATTTGAATTGTGGTAGGACATCTGATTATTTCACATGCTATGGATACAAAACACTTTACCCCAACAAAGATTTAGCCACACCTGAACTACTGAACTAAGATTGTTTGAATTTACAATAAGTCTTTCTATATGACTCTGACTCGTCCTCCTCTCAAACTACTGTGAATGTTTGTAAAAAATCTGCTGCAATAAAAGAAAATGATTTGCAGGGTTCTTTCATCAAGTAAGTTGCTCCGAGTTTCTGCAAGTTCTTATGAAAAACCTTCTTCACAAATTCGCAGACAGCCTGTTGTTATGGTCGCTTTCATTTACATCTCATTAGAAATAATCCTTTTGAAGTGTTGGCATTAAATCAGAGCCCTTTTCCCCTGTCAGCTGCCCTTCATGTAGCTAAAAACTAGACAAGTTCTTGTAATTTCAATCACCCTCTATGTGTCTCTGCCAAGCTTCCATTTCACTCCTTTAATTCCATGTTAGACTTTTCCATCTTTTTCTCCTAAATACTTCCCTGTTGTTATATTCTTGGCTGTCCCATGTCTGCTTTTGGTGATTAGTTTGGTCTGGGTAAAAATCCAAAGTCATAAATTAGCTTCACACTCTGAAAGAGCTGCAGAGACAGAAGGTTATCTATCACTTTAAGCTGTGTGTGTGTGTGTGGATAAGATAATGCTAAAAGTGTGTTTTTCCTCTCAAACAAACATCCTATTAAATAAATGGACTGAATAAACATCAAACTCAGTACTGCACATCCCACCTTCACACAAGGACACACAACTGTTATCAAGCAAACATTTAGCTAAAAGCTTAAGGAGGCAGACTGCCAAAAGATGATCGAGTCAGTGCCTGCAGCTGTCAATCATACCTGATCCTCGGCTACGTTTTGACAGAGGAACATTTGGCGATGGCTGTACATTTCCACACGTCCTTGTTTTCTTATGAACGTTTCCTATGAAATCGGGCCTGTTTCATAAACAGTTGATCCTAACACATTTTTTTCTGGAACATCCTTATCTGCTTCGTGTCAGACGCTGAATCTTTACGGAGATGTCTTAAGCAGCATTTTGTTTTTTGTTGTGCAGAGAGAAAGAGATGTTTGATTATGGACTGGAGACAGATATGTTTACAAAACTCTTTAGTTGTTTTTAGAAAGCCTAGCAAAGGCTTAAGTATTTTGCCTAAGTAAACTCTCAGGTCTATAATAATGAGAGAACTCATCATGATTGTATTAGCTGCAGTCTAAGCCAAACAAACAAACAATTTATTTAAATGATTAGCTTGAATCATTGCAGCTTTTATTTTCTAAGTGTCTGAGTAAAAAGCATCACGAACTTCTAATGACCCAGTCAGTGCTGTGGTAAAGCCTTGAGGAAATACTGTATATTATGAAACTCTCCATGGTGAATTTAAGCAATCTTTCTAAAGAAGACTTTACTGAAAGACTAGCTAGATTACTGGTTATTAGAAAGGCTTGATGTTAGTTATTGCTTATGTAGTTTAGAGGGCTATTACTTGTAACGTGGGGTGTGGTGGTTTTGGATAATTTGTTTCTTTTACAAACACATTAATTGTTTTAAAAGTAGATTGAGTATTTATTGAAGTTATATTTGTCTATAGTAAAATATCTAATCTGAAACATTGTAAACAACTGAAATTATAAAAAACAAGAAATAATTTAGAAGATGCGTCATAGGGTTTTTCTTTTGTTGTCCTTTAAATACAATAAAAGATTCATGATTATAGAAAATTGTTCTAAGAGTTTTTTATTGCTTCCAAATAAATCTGAATATTTATTGAACTAAACAAGACATAAGAGTTTGTTATTCTTCCTGGCCATTAAAGTTCATTTTTATTTTTTTTTTCTAACACTGTGTTTATCTGCATTCACCATTTGAATTTAACCTTCCTGCTGGTGCACTTGAATTTCTCCACTGTCTGAGATAAAGGATGTTTCAATTCTACATTTCTTTTCCAATAAACAGCCTTAAAGTTGTTTCTCGCCTTGATCCAAATACTGTGGGACATCTTATTACAGTGATAAATGCAGGTCCTACACTACCATCTTCTTCTGGTTCAGCCCTGCCAAATGTAGTGACTGCTGATGGTGCTTTAAGTGTACCATCAGGGGACATTTCTCTGATCTCTACTCAAAGGAGCAACGCTAGTTCAGACACCTGCAGGTACTTTCTGAATGTACAAGTACTGCATCTCACTACTCCTCAAGCTTGAAGAAATTGACAGAAGATTTAGACCCTGCATGTAGGAAAGGTTGTCAAAAGTAGATATCAATGGATTTCTTATGGCCGATGTCCATATGCTGCCCATCATTTGGACATTTTGGCCAATAATGTTTATTCTTCTTCTATGCACATTGTAAGAAATAGAAAATGGCGATCAAAACTACAAAAGTTTCATTTAAAATAACAAAGAAAGATCTTTTAAACAATCAAAATAAGACATTAACAATGGACAGCAAATGGAGGTAGTGATAATGCATCCGCCTCACAATGTCGCAAGGCACAGCTGCTAAATAGGCAAAAAAAAAACGGTAAAAGTCTCAGTCAATACAGATACAAGAAAAAAGTGCTACTATTGGCCCAAAACTTCTCCCGGCTGATGTATAGGTCGACCGATAAAAAATATGCTCTAAAACTAATCTGAGGTGTACAACAGGAAAATGAAAACAACCAGCAGTCTTTGATGAATTGCAGAAGTTTTATTAGCAAAAAGCACAACAAAAATGATATCTTTATTCCTCTATTGTGCCTGAGTTTCTGCTCTTGCTGAAATAGTTTTACATTTTCTCAGACTTAAAAACACCAACAATATAAAGACCAGTACAGGATATGACCTTAGCACTCAGCGCTTGGTTTTTTTAACCTTTGCTGGGTAATGTGCTCTTTGAGAATGTGTGTGCCAGTGAGAAAATTGGATAATGCATGTATTTAATTATATAGATGACATGATAGAAGCAGAGAAAGAGGATAAACGGGAGAAAGCAGGAGATGGTGTTAGAAGTCAAACCAAGGAGCCTGCTGCAGTTTCCCCACCTCCTTCTAATCGGCTTCTTTGTGATTCCTTTCTCTAA